CGTGTGTGTCTTTGCCGTGGTCGATCCGATGCCTCTGGGCGGTTGAGGGTACAGAGGCCTGCTTGTGCAGATGGCGTCATTTTTTGACATGTTTTGCGCTACTTTTTTCTCGGAGAATTCGTGCGCAGCGGAATCAGCCGTGGCGTGCGGAGACCTGACGAGTATAGGTTCGCTCGTCCAGCACATTTCAGAGTCGGTACCCGTTTCAATCCAGGAAGAAGTCTGGAGGCTGGTGTATTACGCAATCTCATAAGAGACAGAATATTTTAACCTCGTGCGCAAGCGTCCTGACTTCTTTCGCCGCCTTTGCGCCCCGACCGCGTTCTTTAAATGCCGGGACGACGGTCCGGCCTTTTTCAAGCGGCTGTCTCATTTTTCGTGCGAGCATCTCGATGCTGTGTACGGCTGGAGCCGCGCCCAATCCAAGTAGGGTCACCCGACAATTTTGGACTGTCTCCACATCGACCCGCTGAATAAATCACCCTGGATCAATTTGGTCGCGTTTTGGATTTAGCGATCGGTCGTCGCGGATCCTCGCGGTTTTTGGCATGAAGCGGTTCAAGAGGGTCGGGGCATGGAGAGAATGTGCGCGACCTGGGCTCTTGTGCACTCAGAACACTTGAATCGCTATCTCGACACTCCGGGCGTCAGCGGCTTGGATCGCGCCTACGCAAAAAGCACATCCTACACAATCTCGGCCGCTAGCGATACGATTTGCATATCCGTACCGTCGGCCACCGGGGCCATCGAGACGGTCTGCGCGCTCGACGGTCTGCCGACAAAGGTCAACGTTGGCGATGATTTTTCTTTCGACTCCGTCGTTTGGAGTGCCGACACCCTCATCTTGACAAGAAAAAGGTCCAGCCATATCATTTGCGTGCAGCACGTCCTCGAATCTGAAGACATACTAGTCGTCAGGTCCAGTTTGGACGCCACCGTCGAGCTCGTGCAGCGTTATCGGCGCCTCTAGGTAGACCTCCCTTTTGGCGTTCCTGGCTAACTAGGGCCACTGCCGCTGTAGAGAATCCGAGCCTCATCCTTTGTTAACGCCACCGTAATGATAACCGCAGCTAAAGCTTCGCGCACGCAATAACTGTCCGTCTCGTTTTACACGGGGAGAAGGGCTATGGAAAGCATCTTTGCGTTTCTCCTCCTCGATTATCTCGTCATTAAGTTTGCGCAAGAAACTGTGAAACCTTTCCTCAGTAAAATCTGATTTATCAGAATTCTCATATGGTCCCTCTAACTCCACCAGTAATTCCAACATCAAAGTCAGGAGTGTGTCGGAATGGGTTACACTGTGTTATCCACACTTAAATTCAACACAAACAGCAGAAGATTTTTGGGTTCAATGTCAGCATTTTGGCTAATATGCCCCAAATGATATGTATCATTCCATATCTTTTACCAATGATACTTCCCGTGTATCACCAATGATACTTTTCAGTAAGAATGATACAAGATATAGAATGATGATACTTCTCGTATCATTAGTCTTATATAAAGCGGTATCTTTGATCGGGGATGGACAAGGGGTCCTTGCGATCATCATCCGCGCGGATATATACAGGATTCTCCAAGGTAATGATTATCCAAACCCGTCTACCCAATATCCTTTCCCCTTCTTAATACTTTCTAACCCTGTTATAGTTGCTTCCCGCACTGTAATAGACGGAGAGACTTCCTGGACCTAAGGACGTAAGTTCACCTGGTAGTCGTGGGGCATGTCGTGCGCTGCATACGCGCTCGCCGAAGATTGACCTGGATGGCCATCCTCGCGTATCCAGTACGCCAAAGACCGGCCCTCGAGGGCTAAAGTACCTCCCACAGGAGCCGAGTTTACAAACGGCATGATGGTGAGCATGAATCTGAGGGCAGGCGCAGCGCCGCCACGGATGCACCACGAGAAGTCGTAGCAGTAGTGGGGCCGGTGCTCGCGGTGCTCCACGCAGGCGACGTCGGAGTCCGCGCCGCCGAGGTCCAGGCCGTAGTAGCCCGTCGGGGCGTAGGGCTTGACGGTGTGGAGGCTCGTGCCGTGATTGTCGCACGCGGACCCGGGCGGGCACTCGGCGCAGTACTCGTCGACCGTCGTGACGACGGTGCGGTTGTCGACGCCGCCGATCCCCGGGTCGTCGCAGGCGTCGTAGCAGTCGGACGTGAGGAAGGCCTCGCCGGCCTCCTGGCAGTAGTAGTCGTCCACGCACGCGAACGAGATCGCGTCGTCCTCTTTCGAGTAGACGCTCTGCCCCGCGGCGGAGACGTTCACGCTTGGAGCCGACGGACACGGCGGGCATCTCGCAGTAGACGTAGGGCTCGCCGCTGCCGTCGTCGACCTGCCACAGGCTCAGCTGCGTACATGGGAGGGGCAGCCCGAGCTATAGACCGTGATGCGCGCATCGGAACCCCCGGACTCGGGCACCTCGAACTTGAGCGTGCGGCACGTGTCGTCGATGTCGAGCGACGTCGCGACGTCGTCGATGACCTCCAGAGGCGCCGACACCAGTGTGACACAGACTTAGCAAGCGCTGCCGGGAGAGGCGGTATTTCCCTGGCACGGGACGGTCCGTCCCCACGCTGGGGACGGACACTTCAAGAAAAAGTACAAGGCCAAAACTTAAAACGAGTGGCTGCGAAGGCGGCGACGGACCGGGGACGGACCGGAGACGGACACTAGCCAGCGCACAATGGACGCGCACCGAAACACGGCGCGTTGCGTCCCGCCCTTTGTGGCCTGTACGTGCAGGTGCGGCCGCAAGCCGCCACGCGACGCA